TTTTAACTGTATATTCTTTTTGTACCCTTTCAATTTTTTTTAACTATGTAGATGTATTATCTGGTCATTTCTTTAAATTAAAAAAGTGTTATAAGTCATGAAAGATATGCACAGGAAAGCATTAAAGAGATAGAAACATTGCTTGGACATTAATATTATGTCAGATATTGTACCAAACATTTTAAATACACTAACATTTCACCATATTCTCATTTTATAAATAATGAATCAGAGACTCAGAGATCAAGGATTGCAAAGTAAGTTAACAGAGCTGAGGAAAAAAAACCAGGCAGAGGCCAAAGCCAATGTTCTTCCCACCATAGAAAGATACTATACATCAAAAAGTCTCAGAGCTTGTGGGCAGGGGCTTAGATTCCCAGAGAGATGCCTGAAATGAGCCTGAACAATATATGGGAGCCAAAGAGGTAGGGAGTCATCCCAGTAGAAAAGAGCAGCATATGCCAAAGGCGAAGAGAAAGATGGTGTGTCTGGGGAAACACAAGTCGTGTGGTGCAGCTAAAGCATGAAACTCAGGTGGGGAAGAAGCTAGAGACAACAAGACAATCAAAAGTAGGGAGGCAGTGACACTAAGGAGCCACCAAATTCAGTGGTGTCTGCCACAGTGAACAGTGAAACAAATCTGTCAACTGAATTATCTGAAGTGAGGGCAATATAATCAGATTTCTACTTGTTAATTTTGGCAGGAGTAGAAGAACGTAATGGAGAGGTGGGACTGAAAGCAAGGAGATCTGTTAGACTTTCAGTCAAAATTAGAAAGGAAAAAGGTAGACTAAAGAGAGGGCAGTGGGGGAAAAAGGGGGCATGGATCAAAGATATTTAGCTGGTAGATTCAAAGCAACTTGTGAATGATTAAACAGAGAAGGTAAGAAAGGGGTGTCTGCATGACTTGAAGGTTTCTGTCTTAACCAAGTCGATGAATGATGCTAATAACCACCAAAACATGATGAGAGAACACAAGATCAGCGTTAGAGGGGTAGGCTAATGATATGCTCAGTTTTGGACAAGTTGTTTTTACAGTTCTTTGGGACATCCAAAGTGACCGTGTCTTGTGGGCATTTTGACATTGAATAACGGTGCTAAGGAAACAGACATCAAAATACAAGTTGATAGTAAAGCCATAGAAATCGATGAAATAGCCTGGGGAGAATAAAGAGACTTAAAGAATTTACTGTTCTCTGATTATATGATTCTAAATAGATACTTCCAGCTCCCCAAAACCAACACTGGAGTCTCAGAAGCTAAAAGATGGCTAGTAGTGAATTTTACCAAACTTCTGATTTATGCTTTATCTTTGCCTTAAAATATTCAAGGTGTGTATCTGCTAATAATGGAGCAGATTTTTTTATTTTTTTATTTTGATGTTCGAAAGTTTCATAAACTACATTCATATGTCCAAGCAGTACTGAGAGGCATGTGACTGAAGGAAAGCCCTTTATCAGATGATGACATACAAGTCCTGTATAAGCATCCAGCAGTGTACGCTGCAGAACTTACTTTAAATGGGCATATAAAGTATTATAGAAATGGACAGTATGATTGTTAACATATTCTTTTTATCATCACCACAAAATGAACAAATTGTCGGTCTGAAGTAACTTACTTCTGAAAACGAAAAACAAAAACAATCACTCAAATCGTACCTGACAACTGAGAAAATGTATTTACTGCAGGTATGCAGCCCTTTGCTTGAGGAACATTTGTTGAATGTTGACTAAATATATTATGATGTTGTGATTCATAATTTGTGATAACTTGCGCACATGAAAATACTTTTCTAAGGCTGCCTTATAATGGACATAACTTCCAATTCGGTCCTACCTGTCCCCCATCTCAGTTCCATTATTCTCATCTCAAGATGCCATGCCCTTGGCCTTTACTTCAACCATCATGCCCTAACGTTTTCCTGCAAGGCTCTTTTCTCATATTTTCTGGTCCCCTTGCAACTGTCATCCTCACCTTGGACTCCCTACCATCTTCCCTGGCTAAACAATGCCAGATTGTCCAAAGATTCAACCTAAGCCTCTATCAACTCCTGTGCTTCTAATACTACTGCACATCCATGCGCTCATCTTATTCTAACTTAGCTACCACCCCTGCTTGTGTCTACCTCTCCATAACTTCTGCAATCTCCACTCCACTTTCCAGACCCTTTCTCGAGTAAAGATCTTCCAATTAACAACTGTGGGACGCAGACTTTACCGAGACTTGATTTTGTTTCATCTGTAAAAAGAGGACGGTAATCCCTCAAAAGGTGGCTGTGCACAGCAAAATGCTGTGAAGAAAGTAAAACATCGTGGGGCTTCAGGGCGTGCTCCTGCCGCTGTCCTTCGCACAGAGACCACGTCCTCATTCCTTCCCGCACTGGGCCCCTCTCCACGCGCCCGTTTTCCTCGGCTTCCAGGGTTACAGCCCTCCCTGCCGACCCAGGGCCGGCCTTCAGGCTAGTAACCATCTTCTCTCCCCAACCCACAGGCCCCCGCCTCCCCGTCCCGAAGTCCCCGCAATCCCAATCGCTGTTCCCAGCTCCTCTTACATCTTAAGCTGCACGTTGATATCCAGATCACAACTGTAGATGTAGTGGAACTTCTCCGCTTCCCCCATTGCACCCTCTGCAAATGCAGCAACCTACGGTTGGGAGCAAGGCGCTGGAAACACACACACACACACAGGGACCGACCCGGCTGAGCACCACAACACAGGCGCTTCCGGTTCCGCCTCCCAGCCCCGGCGGCGCCAATCCCTGCCTGGTGCGCGCCCCTACGCGGGGGAACGTCCCGCCCAAGCTTCCCTTCGGCGCATGTGCAAAGGGAACCCACCATCTTGCTTAAGGGTAAATAGGGTCCCGGAAACACAGATTATCTGGTTACATTCCAGAGTTTCCGTGTTTTTCCGGTCTTAACGGGACCGACTTTTTTTTTTTTTTTTAAGAAAAGCTGTCATTTGAGCTTGAGCTGTTCCTAAAATCAATCCCAAAGAAAATTCGTTTCAAAAAGAATTGTAACAACTTTCACTGATTACAGGCTAAACGGAGCAATCACAAGAATTGGAATTTTGCTAAATTTAAATTCCAGTGGCCTTCCAAAAATTGTAGATTTCATCAAAACTTCGCTATCTCAAGCAAAGACTTCCTCTTTCTGCTCTAAAGAATGGAGAAAGGACTGGACAAAGAACAAAGAAGACTGAGTTCTAGTTTTGGCATTGCTAACATTCATGCTACTTTGGACAAAGTACCTGGGTGCTTGTTTACACTGGGTATATTCAGACTCACTGTAGCTTTCAAGACTTAACCCTAGTTAAAACCTAGAAACGTCCAGTAACGCTCCTAGAAATCAGATTTCTGAACCGTCCAAACAACTACAATGCTCATTTTTATAATATTTAATATTCTCTAAAATTGTAATCTTCGTTTCCAATTAGATTCAAAACTTTTTTTTTTAAATTGGGGAATTGGGGGGATGGGAACAGTGCTGGGGAATTGGGGGAAGGGGAACAGAAAAGTTGCTGTCCTTTTGTTTTTCAGTCTAGTTGTGGAGGACGTTGCTTCACTGGCACAAGTTGGCATCATCATTGCGCTCTTCCCGGGCGAGGCAGATCAGTCACCGGCTTCTGGACGGCCGCTCACTGCAGCTGCTGGCCGCTCACGCTGGCTGCTGGCCGCTCACGCTGGCTGCTGGCGACTCATGGCAGCCCAGCTCCAGGTTGAGCTGTTGTTCAGCATCTTAGCTGTAGAGGGCAGCGTCACTGGCCCTCATATGTGGGATCCGAACCGGGGCTCTCTGGCATCCCAAGCCAGCTTTTAACCATCGCGCCACTTGGCCGACCCAGATTCAAAACCCTTTAAAGAAATAAAGTGCCATATACTTCTGTATCTGCACCCTTAGTGCCGAATACATTCCTGCATTTAATAATTCCTATTAATTATTATTGGTGATACTGAATGAAAGTCTGTTTTTTATGTGTTTATTTTTAGGTGCCACTTTATAAGAGGGGCATCACTGGAGTATGTATAAAGTACAGTAATTAGGGGGAAAATGTATTTTAAGAAAAGGTTGAAAGGAGTGTAGCTATTTAACCTGGAAAAGCAAAAAAAAAAAAAGGCTAATGCAAAACATCTTGTCCAAAGTAAGTTCTCAAAAATATTTGTGGAAGCAAGGTTAGGGAAAACATTATAGTTATTCTCCTATAACTTAAAGTTCCAACCAAAGAAGGTCAACCTTGATTTGTTCCTAAGTATAACTACCACCAATGGTTTGAACTTACAAACAGTGTAATTGCATCAAACAATAAAAATTGAATTTCTAATCATCAGAATTATCCAACAGTAAAACAATAGTTACAAGTTCCCTGTCTCCATAATTCCAGCACTGGGAGTGAGGTATGTTGTAAAACAAGTTTCTCAGGCTTGAATAAAATATTGACAATTTGTAAAAAACTAAATTCTCCAATCCCAGCGCTGACTTAAATTACTCTTATTATAATGTTATTAATGCATAAACGTAAATAAAATGCCATATATATATACATATATATTTCTTGTAGATTAAAAAGCCAAATTTACAAATTAAGTACAAAAACTTTAACGACCTTAATATAGTCTTTTTTGCTGAAGCTCTATTGTATACAACATAAATGTGGCATTGATATCTTTTACAGGACTGACTCTTTGAAATTCTGCAGGTCTATATTATTATATACCACATGGCAATTTAGTCTTCTTGCCTTATTTTCTATTCAAATTACTATGAAATATTTATTAGTATAAGTGTCAGGATGGCATTTGCCCTTTACTTGACTCCAAAGCACTTTTTGTCTTAAGTCTATCTCTGTCTTTTTCTTACTAGCTCATAGCAGTTAAAGCAATACTTACTGACTCCAACACAATCACAAACACAACACAGATAAAGGTGTAAAGATGAAGTGTCAGCACTTAGTTCAAAGGTATTTATTCATAGAATCCAGGATAAACTTATATTAGCATTTGTAAAAATCATTGAGAATAAATAACATCAAAATTGTATCACTGGAAAAATCTTAGAAGGTTAGACTGTAATTGTTAAAGACATTAATGCAACAAAAAAAACTAATATGCCAGTAAGGCAGAAGATTTTGGTAGGTCATAGAAGCATGGTAAAAATCACAGAAACCCAAACTGGCAGCACCTTTCATGGACCGATCATGGGTCCAGGAGGTGTTGATTAGTAGATCTGAGTAATAGAGTCCAGTTGATAAAGCCATGTCCATAGGGAAAATGGAAGCCTTAGGCATTTTATTCTGAAAGGAGAGGAATGACATTTTCTTCCCCATGTGATCTTTCATAACCCATAAATATAACACATTTATAATTATAGAACACAATTTGCATTGCAAGAGCCCATGGGTCCACAGACCCCTTCCTGTCTGTAGAAAAATAACTTTTATGCACAGGAGATTTCTTCATGGGGTAAGCTACTTCATTGACTATTTACTTCCATATTTTATTCACCTTCAGTATTGCAATTTTGATTTTTGTGTTTCTTTTGCTACCTTGTTTCAATTTCATGTTTTAGTACCCAAATAACAGATTTCAATAATGATTGAGAAATTTGCTGACAATGGTCCATTTGCTCAGGAGTCAGGTAGTGATAATCAGGTTCAATTTTGACAGTTTCTGTCACCCAACTTGTTGTCTTTAGCTTGGAGTAAGAAATTGTATTCACGGCTTTAAAAAGCAACAATCTTTCTTGAGTTTCCATCAAGAAAAAAAAATGAATATGATACTGTGAGATTAAAATGATCTTATAATTCCTTTTTATCCAATTAAGAAATTGGATAAATTTTCTAATAGCTCCAGGGGTTTTAGAACCTAATCACATGATAGAACAAACAACAGCATAAGGAAACTTGAAAAATCCTACCTTATAAGCCAAAACTCTTGGCCATTTGTGAAATGACAATGTGGCAAATGATGGGCTTGATAATGTCTGTTAGTGACCCTGAAGCATGAATCCACAAGGCCTGGTGGTTCCGTTCCAAAAGGTAATTCCTATCAGCTACAAAAGGGAAAAGATCGAAAGCACAAGGTATTCTGAATAATAATAAAAGTATAGCTTGCATGTGTGTTCTCTTTTGTAATATTTCTATTATGTAACTGAAGAAACTCCTCTCTCAGTGTCACAAGTGAGAAAAGAAAACTTGCGGTTGAATGGCATCACTCTCAAGAGTATCAGCGACAAAAGAAGAAGGAGGTCATATCTCCCCCAGGAAATATGATCAGTTCATACCAGAGGAAAATGATTGTGGGTTGAGATCTGGGTGCCTCCTCACCTCCCTCACTCAATATAGGAGTGATCCTAGTATTCAGACCTTGGAAAGGAGAGTTAAAAGACAGTGTGTGAAATGTCTGATTGTTATTTACATTGTCAAGTTAAAATGTTAAAAGATTTTTAAAAACTCTAAGCCTCATCAACTCTATGTATTACAAAACTGGACTGGACCCTGAAAGAGTCTCCAACTTTCTCCCTAGCTCCTGCCAAAGGAAGTTCTGTTAGATTTTTGTATTGCAAGCCTAAGATTATTCCCTCCTCTAACCTCATCTTCCTACCCAACACTAGTTAAGGCACCTAACTCAAAAAACGATCCCTCCTTGTATTCTTCTTCCACAGTATGCTTAAAAGTTTCTACCATAATACAGGTATCCCCCACTTTTTGAAAGTTCTAGTTATGCCAGTTCACTTCTCCAGCAAGACCTACATTTTTACCTGTTTTCCCTAACTGAAAGAAATGCAAAGAGAATAAACAAAGAAACAAAACAGAAACAGACTCATGGATACAGAGAACAAACTGATGGTTGCCAGATGGGAAGGGGGTGGATGGACTGGGTGAAAAATGTGAAGGGATTAATAAATACAAATTGGTAATTGCAAAACATTTACAGGGATATAAAGTACAGCAAAGGGGATATAGTCAATCATATGGTAATAAGGTATAGGGCCAGGTGGGTACTAATCGGGGACCACTTCATAAATTATATAAATGTCTAGTCATCATGCTACACACCCAAAACTAACATAATGTAATATTGAGTGTCAACTGTAGTTAATGTTTTTTAAAAGTGAAAATAGCGTTCAGCGTTTGTTTTACAGCAAGCTGTTACAGAAGTAGCAGTAGCAACACCTGAGCAGCCAGCAGCAAGAGTGTCCCCCACCAAGCTCCTTTCCCGGGAACTCAACATCTCAGCATCAAGCTGCCATTGCTTTGAACTGTGTCTGTGAGCATCTGTGCTTTATCTCCATTTATTTTGTGCATCCGGTAGCAAGATGTGTCCTAACGTATCAGAGAAGCCAAAGAGAGCACATAAGGGTGTTATACTTAATGTAAAACTAGATGGAATTAAGTATTTTGATCATGGTGAATGAAATCAAGCTATTGTGCATGTGCGGAGTTTTGGTCTGGGAATGCTCAAAATGTTTCCTTATAAATTAATGGTAATTGCTTCTTCCTTTTACGCCATTTCGGCTTATGAAAGGTTTCACAGAAACACCTTACTTTCAGATACTGGGGGAAACCTGTAATTTGGTTACTGTCTACTTCCCCACTAGACTCCAAGATGTGCAAGGGAAAGGTTTGTGTCTGTTTTATTTACCACTGTACACTACTCTAGTTCCTGGCACAGAACAGTTGTTGAATAAGGAAAATAGAATTAAACTAGCACTTGAAAAACTACTATTTG